AAAGTTTCTCTGACAATTTGCATTTGCATTTGACATTCTTCTCCAGAGGAGGGTACAGTGGTGCAAATAAGTCGAAATCCTTTGGAGGTGTCAAATGCAAATGCAGGAGGATAAGACACATTTCAGGGGGCACAGGAGAGCTCAGATTCAGCCCCTGTCTGTCTCTGCTCCTAGCAATCTGTCAGGATTTCAATCTGCTTCTTCTTTTCCTGAGGTAGCAACTGTTTTCCCTTCTAGAGAACAGGACCGTAATTTATAGTATAATGGGTATGCGGGTGATAAATCTTAATTCAGATTATCCCAGAAACCATAAAAAACATTTGCTGTTGGTAAAAGTATCTAACTGTGGAAAAATAGGAGTAGCAATAGTATAGATTACAACCTGTCCTTCTTCAATGCTGATCTCTGATGAAGACTTGGTAGATTGTGCCAAGTCTCAGGGGGTTGAAATAGGTTTCAACCTCAGCAGAATCTACTTTCCACCACTTAATTTTTTTTGTAATTACAGAGGTGTTTGAATACTGGTGATTTCCCCAGTAAACGTTTCATATTCAGATTTTCAGTTTTGGTTGCCTTCCCAGTGATACAGCTGATGAAATCTGTCTTTCTGCTGTTCTCTACGTGGTGCTGTTAAGTGGCATGCTTTTCTGCTTCCAGCATTTGCCTGATTGGTATCCCCATCAGTTACCTGAACATGCTACACAAGTAAAAGTGAGGACACAGGCTGACTGATACTTTGTACAGATAATAAATCCCAAAACGCATCTGAATGAGACCTAAGTTTTATCTGTGTTTGAGGGCTTCATGCGATGGAGGAGAGTGAGTAGCTGAAAAATACCTGCCAGAGTCTTCTCTCTCATTGTGTTCATTCAGATTCTCAGTTCAAGAGGGGTGGGCCTGAAAAGTTAGCTTGTTGTGAAGACCTGGCACTAAGGACCTTTATAAGGAAACTATATTTTTCTGGGCTTAGTTTTCTACATTACACTTTGGAGGAAAAAGTGATCAGCTACAATAGGGGAAACAATGTAATTTTTCTTCACTTTTTCAAGTAAATTTTGCCACTCCATGGAATTATTTATTTGGGTTTCATTGTGGATAAGTATGACACACATCATGATATAAGCCCTAAAGTAACTTTTAAAATGACATTCAGGACAACTGTCTTGACAACAAAGCACTTTTTTTTTGTTTTTTTTTTTCATTGTATTTGCATATTTTGCTCAAACATGAAGCAAACTTATGGACAAACCTGAATTGTCACGTGCTTCATGGATCATGACAGCAAGGCGATTTCATTTCCCATCCATACTCATGATCATATATATCAAAATAAATTACAGCACAATTTTTTCATGTTAAACTTGTCACTTTTTAAAAACAATATACATTTAATACTTGAAATAAGAAAGGAACAAAACAAATATAACTATTTTTTTCACACACAAACATGTACATATGAACTACATGTGCTTGCAAACAGATTTCAGTGTGATGATATTTTAATATATCTGCACTATGGCATTCCCTCAACAAACAATGAGAGACTTGTTATCATGTTTACTTGCTCAAAAGCCAACTTCCTACTATATGGCTGTAAGCTCAACATATCAGTGTTATAATTTACTTCCTACTTACACAGTGCCCAGAGTAATGAAGCCAAAATGTTTGCTTTTAGTATCAAAATGACATAAATGAATTCTTTAAGAAGCAATAAGATTTTGTTTTCTGAAAGATTAAAATTACTAATATGTGTACAAGTTGACCACAATCTTCATAGATGCCTGTGCAGCTGCTTATGCACAATGCTTTAAAGCCACTGTTTTTGGCTTTAAGTGTGAGGAGGTGATGTTTCTGACTTGCAAATGCCATCAGTAGAAATAGGCAGACTTCTTCAAGGTCAGAGATTTCCATTTTCCTTTGATCCTTTTCTTCACAGAATGTATATTTTCATGTTGTGCAGCTGTGCTAGCAGTGTAAATATTAAAGCAATGCAGAATAAAAGGCACAAAATGCCACAAGATGAGAAATAATTAAAACATAAGTTCTGCTTATTGTCTACTACAGCTTGCTTAAGAGAAAGCAAAAAAACATAGATAGATTTATCAAATTTCTAGTGTAACCAGGACCAACAGAATGGTGTCAAGAGGATTTCTCCTGATTTATATTGCCTGACTACAGTAGAAAATCTATTTTCAGTCTCTTACTGCAACAGTTTTGCTCATGACAATTTTGGTAGAGTTGAATAAATACAGAAAATCAAATTATGAGGCAAAAGTCTATCCTTTTGTACATATCTATAGCCTTTTTTAATATGAAAGATAAAATGTCTTTCAATTTAAGCTGAAATAACATAGAACATTTTATTGACTATGCTGTCTCTTTCCTCATTCTGCTGATGCTATAAATACAGATTTTTATTTCCAGCTGGCTTTATACCCAACCACCTGCTTCTAGTGAAAAAGATAAAAAAAAAAAACAAACAAAGCAAAGCAAAACAAAACAAAAGTCCCCCAAACCCCAAAATGTTCCTGCAGATTACTTTTCACATGTAACCACCTTAGTAGCAGGATTCCCACAAAATTTGATTAATTTAATTTGGAGAAGGTTTACTCAATATTTTTTTAAAATTATTTTTAAATTTATTTTTGGCTTGAAGAAGGTTTAAGATCCTGCTTTATGATCGAGATTCCAAAAGCCATGTGAACATTCAATGAAACTTAACCTAATCCAGAGAACTTCCTTTGGCATCATAGTCGTTTGAAGTTGAGAAGGGAATTGAACAGAGCTAGGAGACAGAAAAAAGGAGCATGTGTCTCTGAACTAACTAATGTGATTCTTCTAAGTTGCCAAGGAGAATTGAGATTTTAATTCTTATTACAAATAATAAGAACAGGGCATCCAAATTGCTTGGCTAACTTGAAAAATGTCATTAATTTCTTGAAACATTCTCCAGCAATCAGGTCCTTTGACTTTTCTAAAAATGTTCCTTTAACTCCTTCAGACACAACTGAGTTTTAAATTACTGGATGAGAGCTTTTAATTCTTCTTTCCTGGCTCTTTTTTAGCACAAAGAGCAATCAATGGCATAGGATAGGATACTGAAAGAAGCTCAGAAACCTTGCATCCAATATTTTCCCCCATGTTGTTTTATGAAAAAATCATGGATCAACTGCAGCAGATTGAGATTTCTAAGACATTACTGCTGTGATGTTTATCAGAGTTACAACTCAGTGAGGAAGGACAACTTGACCATATGTTTTTTTTCTCTGCTACTCCACTTCAAGCCACATGGTGAGCAGAGGATGGGAATGGACAAAGCAGTCATCATGATAGCCCCAGGTAGACTAGGACCATTCAATGGTAAAAGCTTATTATTAGCAAACTGATCAGAAGAGGCTTCTTCTTCGTCACTTCTTGCTGGATGTTTCACTGCACTAAGTGGAGGTGGAACAGACTGTAGCTGATTATGCAAATGTTTCCTGCTGTGAAGAAAAATGAGTAAGGATTGTGCATTTTATTGGTGGCTAGTGGACTGTATTTTCACAGGATGCAGTAGTGAATAAGGCAAAATAACTGCATGATTATAGTTCCTTGTCTATCCTTGGAGGAAGCTGCTGTTGTCCTTGGGCAGCCAGAAATTGCTTGCTCACCTGGATTTCCAGCCAATGTTCTGTCTTTTCATGGGTTAAATGCAGATATCTGGCATTTACACATCATGGGAGTCTTTCTGGGAAAGTTTAATGTCAAAAAAAGATATCCAGGGATGGTGTATAAAAGTCTGTTTCACATCTTAGATGTGATTCAGTTGCAACATGGACTACATACCTCAGTAATCTCCTTGACAGTTTTTTCTTCTATTATGAAGTTTAGATATGACTTTCTGTTAAATATTAATGCTGACTTCTTATGGTGTCTCATCTGCCTAAATTACAATTTGTCATGCTGAGGATGTAATGCATAATATTTCTTAATTTTCTCCATGGTGTTATAGTTGTTATTGTAATAGTTAATGCAAAATCAAGATTAAACAAATAAGGAAGAAAAAGATAACTCCCATTCAAGTAAATAAAAGAAACCTTGAATGGCAGTATGATGAAGAAGCCAACTGAAATGAAGTTTAGTTAAAGAATGTCTGTCTGGTGATATCACCAATTCTCTAGGGGCCTTGGTGTCTCCTATTCAGTTGTATCAGGAGCTGTTGCCTCTGCTGGCACTTAGAAGCATGTGTGAATGTATAACGAGGAGGGTACAGAGGGTAAAAGCAACTTCCCAGTCTGAATCTAATGCTACATTTTAACAGACTAAGCTTTCTGCAAAGTTGCAAAGTTAAGTAGAAAGAAGAGGGGACAAAAAACAGAGAACCAGTTCAAAACTTAAAATAAGGCTGAGGTGGGGTGCTGCTTGCAAATGATTTTTTGCAAATCATTGCAAAAAACCCTTTTCTGTATATGTTGCTTCAATGTTCTCTTTAACTCATAGAAAGTTTAACTGGCTTGGAAAATGGGCTGGATTAAAAACTGTTTGAAGTTTTTAAGGCCCAGAGAGAGGTGAATGGTGTCGCAACCAGTTGGTTTCTGGTCACTGGTTGTGTTCCCAGGGCTCAGGATTGGGTCCAATCCTGTTTAATATCTTCAATGACATGGAGTGCTCCTTCAGTAAGTTTTCAGGTGACACCAAGTTGGATGTGATTGTTGATATGCTGGAGGGTAGGACAGCTCTGCAGAGGCATCTGGACAAGCTGGATTAATAGCTCAAGGCCAGTTGTATGAGGTGCAAAACAGCCAAGCACTGAATCCTTTCCTTGGGTCACAACAACCCCATGCAGTGCTACAGGCTGGGAATGCACTGGCTGGAAAATGGCCCAGCAGCTGAACATGAGTCAGTGTGTGCCCAGGTGGCTGAGAAGGCCAGTGGTGTCCTGGCCTGTGTCAGTAATAGTGTGGCCAGCAGGAGCAGGACAATGATTGTCCCTCTGTACTTGGTGCTGGTGAGGTCACACCTCAAGTCCTGTGTCCAGTTCTACATCACTTACTACAAAAGAAGGACATTGAGGTGCTGGAATGTGTCCAGAGAAGGCCAACAGAGCTAGGGGAGAGTGTACAGTGTAAGTCCTATGAGGAGTAGCTGAGGAAACTGAAGGTCTTCAGCCTGGAGAAAAGGGGGCTCAGAAGAAACTTATCACTCACTACAACTCCCTTGGAGGAGGTTGTAGCCAGGTGAGGGTCGGCCTCTTCTCCCAGGAAACCAGTGATAGGAGGAGAGCCAAGCTGCACCAGAAGAGGTTCAAGTTGGACATCTGAAATAATTTCTTCATGAAAAGGGTATTTAAGCATTGGAATGGACTGCCCAGGAAGGTGGTGGAGACACAATCCTTGGGGCTGTTCAGTAAATGAGTGGGTGTGACACTTGGTGTTATGGTCTAGTTGTCAAGGTGGTGATTAATCAAAGGTCAGACATGATGATCTTGAAGGTCTTTTCCAACCTAAATGATTCCGTAATTCACTGTGATTCTGTAAACACTTGTACATTCATCTATTCTTATCTTCATACTGATCTGTGCAAGTAGACTTCAAAACATATTTGCAAGGGGCCCGGACATTGCTCTTACAGGAGTTATTGACAAGGATATTTTGGTACCTGTTTTCTCAAGTTGCTTTGCTGGTCCTGACATTTTCGGTTTTCTCCTTTTCCGCAGAACTATTGCTGTTCCTCAGAGTTGTTGCACTGGCTGTCAGGTAAATTCAGGCTACTGTCAGCATGGAGACCAGCTGGTATGTAAGTCAGAGGTAGGTTAAAACCATTGATTCCTCTTTTAGTGCCAGGTATGCACTATCAACCTGCTTCTGAATATATGATAGGGGAGCTATGAGGGTCATATGCCTTCTCACATCCCAGTCCTTTTTCTCCCCTGCAGTAAAATAAACTGCGGTGCGTCTCCTTGATCTCTAGCAGAGAATTGACTCCTTCAAGAGGCAGGGTAAGCATTCAGCTACTGTTCTTAAAAGAATTGTCAAAAAGGTTCTTGTCTAGGTCTGACTTTGACACTGTATTCCTTATTCACCCAAAAGAGCCATAGTTAGTATGTGTCCCACAAATACATAAGAAGGAGACTATGTGGAGCAAGACAAAAAGCGTCTCTGGGTCTTGCTGTCCTCACTTCTGTTAAGAGGTGCCATATGCCTTGTTAAGTCCATGCTGAAATAAATAGGCTGCAAAAAGTAGAACATTGCTAGAGGCAGGGAACAAACACTGATTCTGAAAAACTGAATACTGACTGAACTCAAGGCAATACACAGAATGCTGACAGCTCTGCAAGGTGGTGCTCAGCAACAGCAAGTGATGATTTCCATCACCAGCACACATTCACATAGATAACTAAGCATATTTCTGCTCACAAGTCCTTGCAGTGCACTAACTGCAATCACTTCTTAGAGTCATTTCAAGGGAATAAGGGAATACAGCAACTCATATTTAATCCTAAAAGTACATGTTTTCTAGGGTGGTGTTTTTTGAGATTATTTTTTTAATTGTGTCATTTAATATGAAAAAATCAGCTGAAAATGTCTAGAACCTAGGTGAATTTTTGCATCTAACACTGATTTAAACATTTAACATGAAATGACTGCAGGGGCAATAGGTAACTAGTTGAAAAAAATGACAATTACGAGGGAAAGGCACATGCAAATGTCTTCAAGGGACAGTTCAGAAACATTTTGTTTTATCCCCATTTGTTTCTTTAACTGCCCACATTAAGGTACAGTAGAGTTTTGGACTTCAGTGCAGTGGTTATTATGTCAACAAAAATAATTTCCCTGGTGTTAGAATTTAGTCAGGGGTTATTCCATTATATTAATGTTCTACGAATGTCATAGAACAAAGACTATTCTTATCAAGCATGTCCATAAATCTCCAACTATCAAGTTCAGAGCATAAAACAAAAGGAAGCAAGAAAACCCAACTCTAAACTTAAAGCCAAGTTAAGTGAAAAAAATTCTATGAACCCTGGCAACCTTGTCAGTTTGATAACCTAAAACAAAGCAATGATGCAACAAATGATCAACCACTAAAAAAAAGAGATTCTCAAAACTGCCTAGCCTTGGGTCCTGCAGCTAAGTAATGGGTACCTCTGGGGAGCGCAGCTGGATTTTACAACTTTCGGCACATTTCCCTTGATAGAAGTGGAAGATTTTTTTGTCCTGCTTTTAAAATCTCTGCAAAGGATGTGGGTACTAATTTTAGAAGCACCTGCATCCTATTATATGTCAGCCTGACTTTAGTTTCAAAATGCCGAAATATAATACAAAGATTGAGCACAGGCTCTCAAATCACATTAATCTGAAGGTTCTGTCTTATAATATTTTCATATTCATCTTGGTTAAACATAGATATAGCCATTGTCCTCCTTTCCCCAGATTATGCCAATCATTTAAAAATGGTATTTGCTAGCAACCATGTATGACAAACCTATGGCTCATAACTGGTGGAAAATTTGAGAGGTGGCTGAACAACGTTGTATCTTGCAATTGATGAGAATTTAAAAATAAAAATCATGGTATTTATGATAAAGAATAAAATTTCACTTCTCAGTCTTTTGAGGATTTCTTTGGAAACATAAAACAAACAAAAGGTTACTTGTACTGAACTAATGTTCCACTTCTGTCTTCTCTCCATTAAAAAAGATTCCTAAAATCTGGAAAAACTTGCCCCTCTTGCTCTAAGATACTGCCCCTGAAAGAAACATAACCACATTGTTATTAAAATGGCATCAAGAATAGTTAAGTAATCTGTTCTTGGAAATTAGCTTTGCGTCTTTGTGTTATCTACAAATATACAGGATGAGAATGACAGTGGCTAGAGGTTCATTATATCTGGCAGTATGTCAGCCTTTTTGAGGCTATCATGTTTTAAACATTATTTTAGTATTACAAATCCCCATATTATGCATGAACAACTGTAGTTTACTTGGCATTGGAGAAGAGTTCATCCCTAGTAACAGTGTTTGTATGTTTTAATTCACTTGTATAAAGAGTAAGATGACCATATTTCCCAAGGAGTCTGCAGAATGTATTATGCTCTTTATTTGGCCCAGTACACATTAACATTTTAACAGTAGCTTTGAAATTAATATTAGGGCTAACAAAACTGATTCTCTCTCTTCAAGGTAGAACTCAACTCCTCCATGCCAGCATTGACTAGTGGGTTGCCTTCCCTGTGTGAGAACCAGGGCTGTATTACAGTAAACTGGTCCAGTGTGATATCACAGATATAAAAAATATTCCATTCTGTATCAAAACTAGGCACATGCCTTATATTTATATGAAGAGTAGATCAACAGAGTTGAGTGGTTTTGCTCTCAACTATTTAGCTCCGGCCTTCTACATGAGGAGAAAAATATCTTTTTTCTAATTAGTAACTACAAGGATCTAATTTGTGTTTTTATGGTAGTTAAAAGATGAGTGACATCACACTTGGGTCAGTATTGGTGGATATCTAAAAGTACAACCTCTCATTTGTATTGCTTCAAAATGTACACAGTATAGATGTAGATTAAAAAAAAAAAAAAAGCTACCAATTTTTTTGTTGTGTTGAACCAGCTAGAGGGAGGATGCAAAGTTTTACCAAATGAGATCTATGGATACAAATTTCATTGTAGAGTGTGGTTTAGACAAATGTGTCTTTTTCTTTAAGTATGTAAATCCTACACTGTAGGTTTTTTTTTTTCTTTTTCCTTTTGTAGCAGTAGAAAATGTTGAACAATTGTCCATGAGCATGAGCCAGTGGTTCATTGCTGATATCCCCAGAATGCCAATATTTGCAATGCAAACAGTTAGTACAATTTCCCAGTTCTATGAAAGGCCCTGACACATCTGCCTCAAGGTCTGGAGGCTCTGTTGTATAACCACAAATAGTCTTTCCATTTTCATATAACCTTTTGATACACTGACAGCTGCATTAAGCTGCTTCTGCCTAGCAATTCCACATGCCAGGCTGTTTTAATTGGTTTTAATGCCACAGAAAAAGCACTGCTAGCAGAATACCATCAAATCATTTTCATATTGAACCTTCGTGGTCCAGAAACCTCCCCTTCAACCACAGCACCATTGTTTTTGCGAGGGACATATTCAAGGTCAATGCTGGTTTTGTGTTTGCCTTTCCCTCGGCTCCACACAAAAAGAAGAAGGAAACAAAATAAAACCACTCCAAGAAATGTGAAACAGCCCATAGCTGTGGACACCAATATTGTCTTAAGGTCCAGAGAGTAGCTGTTTGCATTAGTTCCGTTAGAACTTGTGTCGTTGGAGTCTGTCATATACATAGGGGTCCTGTTGGCATAAAGGAAACGATCTGAAGTAAACCCCTTTACTGTCAGGGAGGCCGAGTAGGTGTCATTTCCAGCTGCATTACTTGCAATACAGACATAGATCCCAGTGTCCTGGTCTTGGGCAAATCGGATCTCTAGGGTGCCATCTCCCAGCACAGTGGCTCTACCATTTGATTTAGTTGTGATCAGCCTTCGACGTGGGGTAACCCAGGAGATGGTAGGCTGTGGGTCCCCATCAGCATTGCACATCAGCTGCACTGTCTGTCCTTCCTCTACTACCAGGTACTGCAACTTCTTGTCTTGTATCTTGGGCTTCTTACAGGTGAAATAAAAGGAGAGAGCTGTGCTGTGAAAGTCTCTGAATGATCTCTCTCTGACACTGTCTGGGCCAGCACACATTGGTGGCTCGCCACCAAACTGCAAGGTGGGCTGCCGCTGTAAAATCCAAAGAAGACGACAGTCACAGGCCAGAGGGTTGTTGTTAATGCAGAGGACCTCAAGGCTTTTGGAGGAATGGAATACATTCTCTTCTAGGGTTTCTAACAAGTTTTGGGACACGTTAAGCACACGTAAGAATCGGAGCCCTTGGAAAGCATGTGGTTCAATGGTGCGCAGCTGTGCCCCCACCATATGGAGCTCCTGCAGGCGCACTAAATCCGACAGCATGCCTGCCTCGATGGTGCTGATGGGGTTGTAAGAGAGGTTGAGATGTGTCAGGTAAACCAGATGTTTAAAAGCAGAGTAAGGTACTGCAGACAAGTTGGTGTTGGTGATGGATAGAGAAGTCAGGTTGAGACCGTACAGACTGTTGGCAGGCAGCATGTCCAGGAGGGGCCAGGCCTCTATCTGCAGGTCTTTCAGGCGAAACAGTCTTTTAAAGGCGTATGCCGGCAAAGCATTAATGTTGAGCTGTTTCAAATGCAGGCTGATGAGGTTATGGAGGTGAGAAAGAGCTTCTGTTGGTACGGCTGTGAGGTTGCATCTCTCCAGGGTGAGCTGCTCCAGGCTAAGCAGCCCACTGAAGGCCCTGTGTGATATATACACCAAATCATTGTCCCCAACCTCCAGGGATTTTAGGTTATGCAGATCTTGAAACATGTAGTCCAGCAAAATGACAATCTTGTTTTCACTAATATCAAGCTTTGTTAAGTTTGACAACCCAGTGAACACCCCAAGGGGGACCAGCTTTAGACGGTTTCCTTTCAGCCTCAAGGAGCGCAAGTTGAAGAGATTGTTGAAAGCTCCAGGCTCGACATTAGAGACAATATTGTCACTGAGGTCAATCTCCTCCAGCAATGGGTATGATGTGAATTCCTCAGGGTTAACGCTTTTGAGTCGGTTCTTGCTGAGGTCCAAGATTTTGGTCTCAATGGGAATGCCTTCTGGGATGGACATCAGACGTCTTCGGTGACAGCTGACAGACTTGTTCTGTGCTGAGCATTCACAGCGGGCTGGGCAGCCCACAGTGGGGCTTGTGAAGACAAGCAGCACAGCCAGACCCAGGAACAGCTGCCAGCATGATAGAGCTGTGTGACGCATGACTCCACTGATCTGGGCTAACCCTCCGTCACGGGCCTGTGGGGTAAGGATGGGAAAGGGGAGAGGTTAAGTCTGCAGAAAAAGAACAGTACCATTGCAAAGCAAATGCATATGTTTTCATATTGAACAAATCAATAAAACCTATTGTGAATGGCATGACCTATATAAAAACAGATTTTACTTCAATATCATAGGGTTAGTCAAAGGATTTGTGTATCCAGCACTTTCCTCCATATGTTGGTGAAGACAAAACAGCTTCTCCTACTGTAAACAGTAAAAGACCTTTCAATCTTTTCTCAGTCTTAGTAGGCTTCCTCAAGACAGTGCTATAATTAACCCAGAGATAGATAACATACACCACACAGAAAGGGCTAATACCATTTGTGATAAATTTACAGCCTTGGATTTCTGTGATGTAATATGAAACTAAGCTTTTGCCTCCCATTAGTGTTTTAAGGCAAACCTTAATGGTGTATTATAATCAAGAAAAAGAGCTCCTTGACAATGAAAAGATTCCTCTTATCATTTATTGCATATATTACAGCTATAAAAAGATGAAGCTTGTTCATGCATACACATACACAATGGCTCAGATGAAGAAGGAAGAACTGGTGCATCTCTGATTAGAATTTGTAATAGGTCAAATTGATTCTTTGTTTTTACTGCACAGAGTTTTTTTGTGTGATTGTTTAGAACCAAGATCCAAGAAGGGTTTACAGAATACATCTTTGTGCTTCCAAGACATATAAACTAGTTTTAGGAAGACAAAAACAAGGTAAGATGACCTGTCTGTGTTTAAGCAGCGTAGTGTCCAAAGAAGCACTACAGATTTAATAAAAATCACACTTTGTAAAGGATTTATTCATTCTCACCTTCAGGTTAAAAATGAGGATAGAAGAAGACAAGATACCATCTACTAAATTAGCTACCCTTCTCCAAACAATGTACTTTTCAGGTTTAGTCACCAAAGGCAAGAGACTTTTTCTAAGTATACTTATAAGCTACTAAATGAAGATAAACAATAACGCATTTCAAAAGAGAAAGAAGAAAAGGATATAGGTGTTCATCAAAGGAAGATGTGCTTGAGATGTTCAGAGTAAAGCAAACTGCAAGGAAGGACCATAGAAGTGCCTTAACTCCTATGGTACAGCCAACTTGATGAGGCTAAGATATAGTGCTGTGATACAGGCTTCATAATATTAATAAGCCTTATAATGGGACTCAGACTTGTGATGCCTTTTCTGCATTGTTTAATTTGGGCTTCATTTTAATTGTACTTATAAAAATACTTACATAACTCCTGCCAGTAACTATCTTCTGGGTCTGTACAGATGACTATGACCCATCTCCTCCAATGCATAATGATTACCCAATAAGCCACCAACTTATCTGTTACTTTGGGCTTTGAGGATCATCTGGTTACTACTTGAGAAATTTGCAAATTGCATGTGAGTAAATGTTTTTTGTCTATGCACTGTCGCATAGATTGTAACATGAAAGAAATCCTCCCATACACAGAGGATAAATACATTTAAATAAATATGGTAAAGCTAAATTGATAAGGCAATCAGACAGCTATTTGAGCAAATAAGAAAATAAGCTATTTGAAGCACAGTCCTGTGTAAATCACAGACTGATGAAAAAGAAAATCCTACCAGTAACTCTGCTACAGCAACACTGCACTCCGCTGGTATACGGCATGGAACCTGATAACTCACCAAACCATCCTTTCTGAATGAAGAAGAGTTGTACTCTCATACTGTGGAAGATCAGAAAAGTGGACATTCAAGATGCAAGAAAAGGAGCAGATATTTGGATCTATTGATCTTATAGTAACAAAAAAATTTCTAATCAGGAACTGTGAGGTTTGGATTGTACACATTTGTACTCTTGTAACTGGACTGAGAAATAAACAGCTGTTGTGCTCTGACTGTTAAAAACTAAACTGAGTGAAAAAGCATTTATCTTGGAGCTCTGTAAATCATGTTCTTTGACTGACCAGACATGAATGATGCATATCTTATTCCCATCACAACTCTCTGGAAGAATTTCACTCTTGACTGATGTGGCTTTGTATTTCCATTTTTACACTTCTATGCAGAGACTATTAATGTGAGGCACATTGCACGCTGGTTTTGACATATAGAGTGGAGACTGGATGAAAATTACTCTGTATTATATTACCTATAAAAGCACATTTCCACTTTGTTCTAGAAGGACAACCTACTGAGATTCAGTTTCCCCCTTAAATTGTAGTCTTGCAAGTAACTATTGCTAGTTATCTCCAGCTGTGACAAAGGTTTTCAGAGATAAACTTCACTTCATTAGGCACTAACTTAAAACTGGAAACCAATAGGGGACTCTGAGTTAGGTGTTTTCAGTGAATTTAGATCAGAGAGGCTTCTGGGTTCTCTGATCATTACTTTCAGAGCTCAGTCTGTGAGGTTAGTGCTTTCATAGTGATACTTCTACCACACAGGGATTTCATTTCCTACCGTATCCATCTAATAATGTATGAAGCACAAAGTAAACAGGTTCAGTGGAAGATGAGCACTCCTGGAGTGTTTGGTTTAGATAGTGAAAATATAAACACTTTTTGCAGCTATCCAATCCACCTGGTAACTAAAACTTCTGAGGAGTACAAAGTAGAAGGTAGAGACTATAAAAGATTATAAAAGGCTTTTTTGACTGTGGCTGGAATATAAAAAAGCAATTCAAAAATTAACAGTAGTCGTCTGGAAAGGTATGTGGACAGATAATGAGATAGACGTATATTTATCAGTAAGGATGGATGCATGTGTGTGTACACACTTGAAAGGCAGCAAGATTCAGGACCGAGATATAATCTGGAGTGGATACATTTCAATAAGGACGAGTAATAAACTATATTAACTATCAAGTCAAAACCCCCAAAGATGAGGCGGATCAATAAGTACAGGGTAGAAGAAAGTATAAATTAAATTTATTATTACAATTTCCATTGAGCCAGATGATACTGCCATTCTTTCTGCTAACCAAATCTGTGATTACATCCTTCACTTTGAACTGCTTTTATGGAAAAATAACCTAATCTCATTATGTAAAAAAATGTAACCTTATCTCCAGCTAGGGTTAAAAGGTCTAGCAAATAAGATATGTGGGACAAGGTGAATTGTGGGAGAAGCCTAGAGTGAATTTGACGATCTATTACATATGGTCCCCATTTGAATTTAGTGAATATAAAGTTGTATTTTCAGGACACGTCCAGTAACATCACTAGCTAGGCCTACCTTGTGCCTCCCATCTAAGAACATTTAGAAAGGACTCAGTTTTATCTGTAAAGTACATTCCATGTCAGTGTGTTCACAATTATTTATTAGTATACATGCATTCCTCAAAAATGCTTCTTTAAAAAGAGGGAAATTGTGCCATTAAAAGATATTCTTCACTGCAAGGTGATTTCTTGAAGCGAAAAATTATTTTCTGCAATTCTTTAGACTTGTGGGATGTTAATTAATTGGCAACTTCACTGGCACAGGGCTGAATTGTTAGTGTCAGTGCACCACTTGATGACTTTCATTCCTGCTTAAACAACCAGCACTAACCAGTATCTTTTCCAGTGTAGGTATTCCCTCTTCACATCTGCAGCATTGCCATTTTTTGCTTCATTGTGATGCATACAAGACTAAGGTGTATGCATGCAGGTATGTACACACACACACGCATACATACACAATTTGTAAGAAGTATAGTCTTACTGATCTGTGATTGTACATGCCTTGCACTACACAGTAGTCCTCTAAAATGATAGCTTGTCAGATGAAAATTCAAAAACCATAAATGATTATGAACTAAGAATTTTTCTATGTTTGAATGTGAATGACAACATATAAAATTGTTTTCCTGACCTTTCTGGGGTATTTGATAGACTCTGGGAAATGAAATATGTGAAGGAGTTGTTTATTAAAAAATAAAAGTAAACTAATTACCTTCTTTTTGTCTTTCTCTGGCTCTGCTCTTTAAGTCCAAAGTTAAGAGTCAAGTTACTGTTGGCTGATACTCTTTTTCAAAAGAGGGCCCTATTCAAAGTTCAGCTATGCAATTATGAAACCTCATTAAAGTTATTAGTTAATTGTTCTGTGTGATCTCACCCAAAACAGCCACTACTACTTTGAAATACAAATCAGTTTTTAAAAAGTTCTGAAGCTTTGAGTCTTCCCAAAAGTGCTTTACAAGAATGTACAGTACCCTGTAGCTTTTAAATTGAAAAATTATAATTAAAAAAAAACAAAGCAACCCAATGCTGTCCTAGAATGCAATGCAATTCTAAATATCATCTATAGGAATGTGCCAAATCATGCATGTATTACATATTTTTTTCACTTCTCTCTCTCCCTCAGACTAATTTTGAAGCCTTAAAAGCTGAAAACGGGACTGCATTTGACCATGGTCCTTTCCATGTCCCATCTGATGCTCCAGTATTGTATGGGACATAGCTTTAGCCAGAAAAGAGGAAAGTCACAAGATCTGTTTCTGTTATTAGCTGCATTATCATCACTTAATGCTCTGACTTAGTAGTTTTTATCTCACCTTTCTCATTCCTTTTATCAGCCTTTCAGACAAAAACCATCACAGAGGATTATATCAGAGATCACAATTTTGCCTGATGAGGACTTAGTAATTTACATTCTAAAATCCCCTTTACAAAAACATACTGTATTCAATAAATGTTCTAGGATTAAATGTTGCATGACAAAACAGACTTGTACTGATTATTCACTTAAATGCTACCAGGTAATCCTGAGAACCAGGTGAGCTACCTGTTTGGAAAGTGTTTTCACTGGGTTGACACTGACTGGAAACTGGGTGCCCACTGAGTCTGTTGTATCACTGCCCTCCTAAACAGGACAGGGCAGAAAAAATATAATAAATAGTTTCACACATTGAGATAAAGCAGGGGGAGACTACTCACCAGTTACCATCACAAACAAGATGGACTTAGGCAAGGGAAATTAGTGTTGTTTATTACCAATTAAATCAGAGTAAGATAGTGAGCC